GGCGGGGCAGCGTCGCGCAGCCTCCGGGCCAAGGAGCCCCGCTACGAAACCCGGTGGGTGTCTCTGCGGTGCCCGTGCCAGGGCCGCGGGGCAGGCGGCCAGTGCGAACTGCGCCGCTAGACTAGCTGTGGGCCTGGGTGGGCCACTAAGGCCCTTCATCTGCAGAGGGGCCACCATCCCGGGTCTGCCCGGCAGGGCCACCTGTGCTCCGGGAGACAAGGCGTGGGGCTCCTGCTACGCTCCAAGTGCAGCAGAAAAGTAAAACCCCTCCCTGCAGTGGTGCCCTCGGCCTGGACCCTCTGCCCAGGGCTGGGCCTCCCTCCGACCCCACTCACCGAGAGGCGGGTACTGGGAGAAGCTCTCCACGCACATGGGCTTCCCTGGGACCATCTCCACGATGGCCGCGTCGCCCGACTTCAGGGACTTGGGGTTGTCCTCGAGCTTCTTGCCCGAGCGCCGGTCTATCTTCTCCTTCAGCTCTGCAAACTTACAGGCGATGTGGGCCGTGTGGCAGTCAATGACCGGAGAGTAGCCAGCGCTGATCTGCCCGGGGTGGTTCAGAATGATGACCTGCGGGCAAAGTGTCATGAGGCCATCAGTGACAGGGGGACACCAAAGCGGGGAGAGGCTACAGCCCACCCCCAGGTCCCTGGGGCCCAAAGTGCTGACCATGGAGGAAGGTCCAGCAATGGGACACCCACCCCTCCAGACCTGGACCCTGAGATCATTACCAAGCATTGACATAAACAGAAATGAACAAACTACAAGAGATAAATGGGCAGGTGCACTGTTTGAAAGGGCCAGTGGGCCGCTTGTACTGTCAACCCTGGCCAGAACCAAGGCAGGGGGACGACAAAATTGGACCTCAAGTTTTATATTTCAATTATTTCTCAATAAAGCCAGTTTTTAAAATTGTTGTCGCGTAAGGAGGTGATCAAAGAGGCTGCAGTGGAAACGTAGAGAATAAAAGAATCACAGCGACATTTCAGGACCCGAGTAGGACCTCGGTGAGGCCTGAAGCGACAGGCCTGGCTCACCTGCTTCTGCCCTCCCGTGTGCCCTCAACCCACGCCAACCTCTCCACGCCCTGGGGCCACGTTTGTAAAGCAAGTCTGAGTCCTCCCCAGCACCAGGCCAAGGGGGTGTCCAGTGCTCCAGAGCCACTTCCCTGAAGACAGCCTGTCATCACCCCTGCAGGAATGGGCCCCAGTGGCCACCACACAGCCACCCACCTGGGAGGTGAACTGGGCAGCCTCCTGGGGGGGGTCAGACTTGCTGTCCCCACACACGTTGCCCCGGCGGATGTCCTTGACGGACACATTCTTCACGTTGAAGCCGACGTTGTCTCCGGGCAGGGCCTCACTCAGAGCCTCGTGGTGCATCTCCACCGACTTCACCTCCGTGGTGATGTTCACGGGTGCGAAGGTCACCACCATGCCAGGCCGAAGGATGCCTGTCTCCACGCGGCCCACAGGCACAGTGCCAATGCCTGGGCCCAGAGGAAAGGGGCTGTGAGGGGCAGTCAGGGCCCAAGGGGCACCCCTTGTCCTCCCTGGCAGGCCTGGGGCATGGCCACATGGAGGGAATGAGGAGACAGGGAGACCCCGGGCAAGGCAGACACACTGAGAGGTTCTCACAGAGGTGGAGGCTCCCCTGACCCCACAGGAAAGGAAGGGACTGAACAAGAAAGTTCCCAGAACCTCTCAGGAGGGGGAAGGGCAAGGAGAAGGTCACCTGGATCAGGGGTCCCTTCCCTGCCCCCAGGTGGCACTGTTCTCAGAGGCACTGTGGGTCCCTCACCTCTCTGAGGCCCCTCCTTATGAGGCACCAGCATCACCGCAGGTGGATCACAGCCCACCTGGGATTATCCTGCCTGGCTTCAGTGCTCCTGGTCCCGGGGGCTGTCCCTAAAGGGACATGGGTGCCACCCCCTTCTCATGGATCTGCTAACACTTGTGTGGCTGCACAATCAGTGTCTGGTCTCCTTCACAGTATGAGGGAGGCTCCACCCCATCTCCCTGGTTGTGATGGAGGCTCGTGTGACATTACAGCATGAGCATGACACCCCACCCTGCCATAGGCCCCTGGCGTCTCCAGCCCAGATCCTCATGGTCTCACGCTTGTTTATGTCTCTATCATCTCGTGAACAGCATCTCTCATTCCTGGGGGAGGAGAATACGCACCTCTCCCCTGTGCCATCACCCTGGCACCAGCTCCTGGCATAGGACCAAGCACTTATCTGGAGGGAGGAAGACCTGGCAAACACTGGCCAGACTGATGGATGGTGGGGTGAGCAGCTAGAGGGATAGATGGATGGGTGGAGAGATGGACAGAGAGACTGATAGAGAGATGAATGGATGGATGGGGGATGGATGGATAGATGAGGGGTACCCCAAAAGTGTGCAGTGTGGGAGGACAGGCAGAAATACCCTGGCGTTGGGAGCTCCTTGCTAGGGCCTTGGTCTCAGGAGAGGGGTCTGAAAGGCAGAGCTGGCTGAAGTGGGCTGGGCACCCAGAGTGGACTAGCAGGGGAGCCCTGTGCCCTCACTCACCACCAATCTTGTACACGTCCTGCAGAGGCAGGCGCAGGGGCTTGTCCGTGGGGCGCGTAGGGGGCAGGATTGTGTCCAGGGCCTCCAGCAGGGACACACCACTGGCGTTTCCTTCCTTACGCTCCACTTTCCAGCCCTTGAACCATGGCATCTGGGCAGGAGGAAGAAGGCACCCATCATAGAGACGGCCTTCACCCACCCCACCCCACCCCACCCCACAGTCCCAGTCGGGGAATCCTGGTGCAGGTACCTGACCTGAGGGATCCTGGGGAGCAGGGGAACAAAGCACCCTCCCTCCACTGCCTAAGAGCCAACTGAGATGCTGAAAAACTGACCCCTCCCAGCTCACACTCCCAACATCCGAGAGACACTGAGCAGGGAGACAAAAGGAAGCAGATCCCCCACCTCGGCCCAGACCAGACAAAGGACTACCTGGCCAGGCCAGAGGCACAGAGTTTAGCCTCAGCTCCAGAGACCACTGTGCCCACCATCTCCAGGTGTGGCCAACACATGGCTACCCAGGACTTCTCCTGACAGCAGACCCAGCACCCTCCTAGCACCGAGCCCCCTGGCCCACCTGCCCCAGATGGAGACAAGGAGAGAGGGCTTGCAGCACCATGCCCCAGATCCATTCCCAAGGACGGAGTCCTCCAGACAGCCCAGAACACCTCCAGTATGGGTGCCCAGCCCACCAACAGCAGCTCTCCAGCAGTTCAGACATGGGAAATGTGGGGGTGGGTGTCCTGTTGGCCTCCCCAGGAGGGTGGAGGGTGCAATCAGCTCCCCCAGCACTACGTGACATCCCATGAGGAAACGTGCAGTCCACAACACTCAAACTTGCTGCCCAGGAAGATGGGGGGCCCTCCTGCTGCACTCCAGCCACAGGGCTCCAGGGTTGTCTCTCCTGACTCTCCCAAGGGTCCCCTCCATGCCCGCCACCCTCAGTGTGGGCTGCAACAGTGCTGGCCAGAATGAGTGGCCATCCTTTTGGGCCAGGGTGTCCTTGGCTTGACAGTGCCAAGGCACTAGGTCTCGGGTTCCACAATTTCAAAATAGCCAGGTTCCACTCGCCACCTCCTGCTCAGAGTTCCTGGGACACTGGCTGCCCAAGTGACCAGCAGAGAGCCAGCCCTTGGCCCTTCCCAGAGCCCAACCAGTTCCAGGCTCCAGGAGGCACCTGGAGGATATGAAAATTAACCCTGTTGGGGCACAGCTCCTGGACACAGGGCCCAGAGGCCCCAGCAGCTCTGTCCCTGCAGTGTTGACCTGGGGGAAAGGGGTGTCCTCATCAGAGAAGGGGTTGCAGGAGCCTCTCTGACAGCCTCATGTGGACCCCAAGGACACCCACAGGGTCTGGCTCCCACACTGATACAGGTTAAGGGAGACAGAAGGGCTGAGGGGAGTCTGGGGACAAGCTCTCTGACCTGTGCCCCACCCTGACCTGGCCCTATCTTCCAGTGCTCTGGGCCGTTGGGAAGGAGTCTGAGCAGCCCCACCCCCTCCTGCCAGGCACTCACATTAGGCGAGGGCTCCAGCATGTTGTCACCGTGCCAGCCAGAGATGGGCACGAAGGGCACAGTGGCCGGGTTGTAGCCGATCTTCTTGATGTAGGCGCTGACCTCCTTGACGATCTCGTCGTAGCGCTTTTCGCTGTAGGCAGGCTCTGTGGAGTCCATCTTGTTGACTCCCACAATGAGCTGCTTCACGCCCAGCGTGTAGGCCAGCAGTGCGTGCTCCCGAGTCTGCCCATTCTTGGAGATGCCCGCCTCGAATTCGCCCACTCCCGCAGCCACGATCAGCACAGCACAATCCGCCTGCCCAGCAGGCACAGCACCATAAGCCCCCAGACCCCGCCTCGTGCCCAGGTCACTCCAGGCAGCAGGTAGGGGCCTGGACAGTCACCTGGGGATGGGACCTGGGAATCTCGGCCTTAGAGGCAGTGGCGGGGGCTCATCCATCTGTCTGTCTGTCTGTGTGAATGCCATGGCAACATCAGGGATTGTCTGGGTTTGTCTGTCTGAATATCTCGGTGACCTCATCCTAGCCTCTAAGTCTGTCTGCCTGCAAAGGTGGCCCTGACAGTGGCAGGCTGTCCTTGCCTGGTAGAGATGCTAAGACACTTAATCAGTTCTTGGGGCAACTCTGTACCAGGTGGGGCAAGTGGTGGCAAAGGTGAGGGTCTTAGGCCCTGAGGAGGAAGCAGAGGAGACCCAACTATCCTTCAATGATTCCAGGGCCCGCCCCCAGGTGTTCTCTGAATGGGACCCACCTCCTGGCCCCTGTGGCCCTGCAACCTGCCTACCTGGGATGTGCCAGTGATCATGTTCTTGATGAAGTCGCGGTGACCCGGGGCATCAATGATGGTGATGTAGTATTTGGTGGTCTCGAACTTCCAGAGGGAGATGTCGATAGTGATGCCACGCTCCCGCTCTGCCTTCAGCTTGTCCAGCACCCAGGCATACTTGAAGGAGCCCTTCCCCATCTGGAGGGGTGGCATGTGGTTCAGGGTGGGACCCAGGACCCAGTCAGCCTGGCCAGCAGGTACCTGGAGCCATGGGAGCAGCTCCTCACAGCAGAGAGGCCCAGGCGAGAGGCAGGAAATGGGCCTCAGCCCCCCTTGCTCCCCATTGGGACCCTGGGACTCTGGACCCACCTCTAGAACAAGGGAGCCGGACACGAGGACCTCTGAGTGACACCCAGACCTCAACTCTGCCCTCCCAGGTGGGAATATCCTGGCTTCCAGGTCCAACCTCCTGCCTCCTAAATGGGCGCAACTCAAGCATCCACCAGTAGGTGGTGCAAGGGCCTGGGACCAGCTCTTGGAGAGAAGTGGGAGGCCAAGCTCCTCCCCTGGCTAGCGGCTCCCCTTTATCTGAAGCTGGAAGCCACCCCCCCCCTCAGATCCCTGCCTCAGCCAGAAGCCCACAACACCACTGGGTTTCAGGTTGTCAAGTCAAAAAACCCTCTGTGATTTCTTTTTAAAGGAAAAAAGAAAGAAATCAGATGAGGTCACAAGCAAGGGCCCGGCTTTCCAGCTCTTTCCATAGCCAGCCAGGCCTGCGAGCAGCTCTGAGGCTCCTCCACCCCTTCCTGGCCCCACCTGAGCAAGGCTGGGCTGCTCTCTGCAAACACCTGTGCCCAGTGCCCAGCGAGAGCCCCACGCCCAGGGGCGAGGGCTGTCATTAGGACAGCAGCCTCGGTCACTGCCCAGCTGGACACAGCTCCCTGCCAGAGCCATGCACAGACAGGGAGAGTTCTGGCTACCTGGGAGGCCACCCAGACAAGACCCATAAGACCTGAACCAGACACCCTGAAAACAGTCTCTGCCCCCCTCCACCTCCAGACCCACAGGGAGGAGTGACACAGCTTTGGGGCCCAGGCATAGAGGGAAGCTCAGAGCACCCCACTCCAAGGCCAGAAACTGTCCCCTCCTGGACCCTAGCCCCAGCCACTCTGTCATCCAGGTGAGAGCCCTCACAGCTCCCCCAGATGGGAGCTTTTCACAGAGCTCAGGGGCGGGGGGTAAGGGGTACAGAGAGCAGACCCCCTACTCCATGTCCACTTTCCACCCACAGTGGCCAAAGAGCAGCTTCGAGAGAGGGAAGATCAGCTCCTGGGGCTCCTGGGGCTCCTTACCAGCAACCAAGCCCCCCACCACCCCTGCCAAAGGGTGCCACGCTAGACAAGCAGCCCTCCCCAGTTTGGCATGAGAAAATGGAGCTGATGGGCTCAGTGCCCATCAATCAGCTATTAATAGCCACCCTGAGTCCTCGCCCAGCCCTGGAACAAGTGAGGGCAGTGCCACCTCCAGCCCTAGACCTCAATGCTGAGGACAAGGGAACCCAACCCTGGGGGGCTCAAAAGGCAGGCTCCAGGGATCTAGAGTCCAATGTGGCAAAGTGTTCCAGAGCTTTCTGTGCAGGGCAAGAACGCAGCCTCCAGGCCACCCCCTACCTGGGCCAGATCCAGCAAGCCATCTGCCTCCCCCACCAAGGACAGCCTCAGAGAGAGGCTGCCCTGCTCCCCCCACGCCACTCCCATCTGGACCCTCTGACATACACACGCCCCACAGAGGGTTCTGTAGGGCTCACGCCCCTCTTGCCCTGGAGGAATAAGCCAGGCCACATGCCCCAGGCCTGAGAAGGCAAGCCCAGCCTCCGAGTGGGCACTGTCTTCACAGTGCAGGCAGATGTGAGAGCCCCACCCCCACCCCAGACTCACCTCTGCAGCTTCCTTCTCAAACTTCTCAATGGTCCTCTTGTCAATGCCTCCACATTTGTAGATGAGGTGGCCTGTCGTAGTGGACTTGCCTGAGTCCACGTGGCCAATGACCACAATGTTGATATGGGTCTTCTCCTTGCCCATTGTGCTCGGGGTGTGGGGAGGGGCTGCACGACCTGGGGTGCTCTGGCCTGGGGCAGGGAATGCTGAGCAGTGATTCTGTGGGGTGATGGTGAGGGGGACAGGTGACAGAGAGCCTTAGAGGAAGGCCTGGCAAAGACACAACCCTGCACAGACCAATGGCACATCTCTGCCCACAGACCTGGCCCCCACATCCAGGCCAAGTCCCCATGTTTGGTGGTTAGGTGGGGAGGGAAAAGTGTCCCCAGCCTGTGCCTGACCCACCTGAGCCAGGTAGCAACCCAAACAGCCCAATCTTCTGTAAATATCTAGGCCTACAGAGCCTGTGCTCCCCCCACCCCATGAAAGAGTTTAACCCACATCTGGAGACACTGAGAAACACCAGGCTGGGTGAGCCCCATGACCAGTCAGGAGCCCAGGGATGAGTCACCCTGCCAGCTCTCCAGTGCCCTTTCCTGATGCTGTTCCCTCACCCAGAGTTCTGGGCAGGACACTGTCCCCCACCGCACCACCACCACCCCCAGAGTTGCACAGAGAAGGAGGGTCAGTGCTCCCCATGCCCCTCCTCAAGCAGGGACATGGATGGCACCATCTTCCTCTCATGCCTGCCTGGCAGGCACCAGGAGACACAGGCTGGTCCAGAGCTCCAACAGGGCCATGTGGTGCCCAGGTCAGGGGCCCAGAATAGCCTGGGCCCTCCCCAATCTGGGCAGGGGGCAGACAATAGGGCAGGGAGGTGGAGGTCCCTGCTCTGCCCAAAGGAGGAAGAATGTGGCCCCAAGGCAAGCTCAGCAGGTGTGAGAGATGCCCTCGGCCTGGTGGGGGCTGGGGGGCACCCTTTCCCCCTTCTATGTGGTCAGGGCCCAGGGTGACAGCCCCTGCCTCATCCTGGAGGTCAATGAAGAATCCTAGGCAGCCCCAGGAGGGACAAAGGGCTGGGGAAAGAAAGTGGGCACCAACGCCAACACTAGGTTGTGGTCGCCAGGTGGATTCCAAGGGGGAAGAGAGGGGGCTTCTGACCAGGGCCTCCAGGTCTCTCCGCCTCCCCCTCCCCCATTTTGTTGCCTGGTCACCCCCAGAGGCCCGACCCTTACAGGCCCCCAGTACTGAGGACCCTGCCCAAAACCAGAAGGGCCCCGGGTGGTCCCAAGGTCACAGCAGCAGGGCCATAGCCACCGCCCAGGAGACCCGCCCCT